GTTAAGCAGAAATAACAGTCGTCTGTATGATTGGTAGGCTCACGCCAAACCATAGGTACTGCAAAAGCCATTGCCCGGTTTTTATTTTTCAGCCACTCTCGCAATATGACGGAACAAGAATTACAACATATATGAGGAGCCCATGATTTATCTTGGTCCCCAACTTTCACACCAAAATAATGTTCATAGGCTGTCTTAACGATAGGTGTCATTTTACGTTTCTGAGCCTTAAATGTTATTTCACCACATATATAGCAAAAGCTATCGACAGAATTCACACACTTTCGAGGCATTTCAGATCAGCACTTGAATTAATTTAAAAATCAACTTCACACGATAATTTCAATAGCAACCACGTGCGTACAATTGACAAACTCACATAGGTTATGTTTACTACTTAAGAACAGCTGATGAGAGGGGTGTTATGTAAACAAACATGTGTACCAACTGTTGGTGATGAAATATTTCATTTGTTGAAAACTCAATATACATAATATAATGATACTATATCTTGAAAACAAGAGGTAATATATAATTTTTATGGTCACTTTCGGTTTTAACACGTGGAAATACATTAAAATCATCTAATTTCAACCCCGAAACAAAAACTTTATTGTGTTGTGTTATTTGTTGCCTTCCTTAATAATAATTTGAATTATAAATTGTGAATAAAATGAAAGATAATTGTGAACATTAGGTACAGTCTAAAATTTTTGAAAGTGTCAAAAAACAAATATGTATAAACATGAGCTTCACATATCAGATGAAATAAAATCAAATCTAAATCGGCATAATTGAAGTACTTCAATAATCCTGAGTACTATAAAAACAGTTTTCCAGGAGAGTAGTTTTGACTCTGTTTTTGAAGGAGCTTTGTTTGAGCACTTTGAACGAATTAGGAAGATGATTGTAGAGATAGACATTCAATGAATTTTCAATAGACCTTGTGAGTCTGAGTAACAAGGCTGTATGAACAGATCTGCATTTCTTGTAGCATGATGATGAATATCCTGATGCTGCGAATAGACTGATTTATTTTTATGGATTTCAAGTAATTGACTATATATGAATTCCGATGGTAGTGGTAGTATACCCATTTTTTTAAGCGGCTTACAGTGATCTCTATAATTGGCATTCATCAATATTCTGACTGTTTTTTTCTGAAGTCTGAAGATTTTAATGGAGTGAGAGGAATTACCCCACAAAACTATGCCATAATTCATATGCGAGTCGAACAAAGCAAAATATGAACTTCTCAGGGCGTCAAGAGACAATACTCTATTTAGCTGTCGAAAAGCAAATATACTCGTACACAGCTTCTTACTCAGTTCATCAATGTGTGCATACCATGATAAATTCCGGTCAAGTCTTAGTAGTTTGGCAGTATCATCGCCATTTTCAGTGGTTTCAGTATTTAAGGTCGTAAAGAAGACGTTCTGGGTCTTGCTTTCATTTAATTTGAACTGATTTGTTGTGAACCACAGAGACGCCTGTCTCAGAGTATCATCAGTATTTGATGGATTATTTGATTATGTTTTTCTGATACGTTATTAGAGTTGTGTCATATGCTTAAAGAACACATTTACCTGGTGATATAAAATGACTGAATTCGTTGAAATATATAAAGAATAGCAATGGTCTCAAAACGGATCCCTGCGGTACACCATTCTTGATAGTTTTATTGTCAGACATGTTTCCATTCACACACACACACACACACACAGATTGGGTTCTGTTACATAAGTACGACTGAAATAAACTGAGTGGTAGCCCCCTCACTCCATAAAACTCCAACTTTTTGAGCAGAACATCGTGCGAAACGCAGTCGAATGCTTTAGAGAGATCACACATGGTCAATATCAAGTGTTCACCTCTCTCAAGACCCTCGATAACCAAACTCACAGTTTTTCGAATTGCATCTGTTGTTAATCTATTGATCCTCACTAAATAATTTGTTATTGATAAAAAAGTTCATGAGCCTGTTCTTCAAAATAATTTCAAAGATTTTTCCCAAAACAGGAATGATTGATATTGGTCTATAGTTACCAACCAGAGACCTGTCTCCTTTTTTAAAAGAGGCAATACCTTTGTACATTTAAACATGTCTGGAAAAGACCCTTTTTGTATACACGAGTTGAATAAAAATGTCATAGGACATGTACTTATTTTATTTCAAGTTGCCTAGTCAACCTGTTTTACAAGTACCTACAACTCTGCTTGTCTCTGTTTAAAATATGTTTTACCTTTTAACGTGTGATTCCTAACACGGTTGCAGAATCATCCCAGATGGTTTTATTAGTTTCGTATCTACCCTGGGAGATGGCATATCTACAGAATTCAATTTATTGATTAAGATTTCACAGTGTTCTCCCCAGGAAATATGTTCGTCTAGATATAATCCAAGAAATCGGACGGTCTTATCAACTGACTGTAATTCTCCGAAATCAACTACACTAGCTTCTTTTTGTCTATTGTGAAAGCGTATACATTTTGTATTTAGATGAAGTGAGTTGGCTCTAAACCACTGAGCCATATCATTTCTGGCCTTGCTACGCCATAGCACTTGATAAATCATTCATTCCTTTCGTAAGATTTCTTGATACTGAGTGTTAGATTTTTAGGGAAGAACTGCTAGCGATATTGCCGTTGAAAGGTTACACTCGAGGAGAAGATTTATTTAAGGTCATTGATGAATTTAGTACTAAATCTAACATTACTTAAGATAAAATGGTGTCGCTTTCAATTGACTGGGCCCCAGTAATCACTGGCAAAGAAAAACGTGTAGTAAAGAGAATCAGGTATAAAAACTCAGGTCTAATATCGTATCAGTGCATAATTCACCAGGAAGCCCTTTGTGAAAAACTTAGTGCTACACTGAAAGAAGTAATGGAGAGCTTGGTCGAGTTGATTAATTTTATGAGATAGCATTCTGCTCTTCAGCGGCGACATTTCAAGGAGTTTCTTTCTGAAAGCGTATCCTGACTTAACTGCAAAACGACAAAATGTTCGTTGGCTAAGTAAAGGTCAAGTATTTGAATGTTTCTGGATGATAAAAGAAGAAGTAACCTCCTTCTTGCAAAACTCAGATACGGAGGGAGCCAAGTAGTGGCTTTTTCAAAAGATATTTTGAAATATTCAAATACTCTCAACACAGAATAACAAGGAACTGGAAAATTAATATGTGATCTGATACAAAACCTGTCTGCTTTTCGTTGCAAGCTGGATATCTTTGAAAAAGATATTACAAGACAAGAATTTATTCGTATTCCGACAATTCTTCAATATAAAAAGAACTCTGAAGAAGGCATTGCTGTGTTTGTAAAATTTCTGGCCGATCTTAGGAACGAATTTGCTACAAGATTCCAAGACTTTGCAGAGATGAGACTATCTCTGTTTCTTGAATCGTCATTTGACGTTGATGTAGCAGAAGAATGGACAGTTGTAGCTGTCAAAGGCATTACTTCAAATAGGGATAATTGATTTGCAAGATGTGTCTTTGCAAATATGTAAAACGGTATTCGCTGAAGAATTTTGGACCAAACATGTTACAGAAGAATATGAAAATTGCAAGAAACTAGCTATAAATTTGGCCACTATGTTTGGCTCGACATATTTATGTGAAACATCTTTCCCAAAGATTAATTTTTTGAAAAACATATATCGTTCGAGATTAACGGACGCCCACCTAGAAGACACATTTCGAATTTGCTGTAACTCTCAAGAACTATAAAAACCTGGCTCAAGACCGTCGGTGTAATTTCTCACATTAATTTTAGGTCTTGTGTTTTATATTTCAGATTGATTTGAAACCAAAATAATACCTACATAATTAGCACTTAATTTTTATCCGTTGTTTTTTTCTGGACCTCGTAAACATTTTCCCACAGTTACCGGACCCCACCTAAAACTACTTGAAACTACTTGCCGACATGCCTCATCCACCCTCAGTCACCAGACTTGGTCCACCCACGACTATTTCCTGTTCCCAAGATTGAAGAACCTCACGAAGGACCGCGTTTGGAGACGATTGAGGAGTTGAAAACCTAATCGCTGAGAGATCTCAAAGACATAACAAAAATTGCATATCAGAACTGCTTCGGGGACTACTTCAAAGGCGACAAAATAGAAATTAAATAAATAAATATTTTTTGAGAAAAATTAAAATTGATATAATTTTTTCAACAGACCTCGTACATTATTTTGTTTGTGAAAAGTGTGGCGTTTTGACATCTTCCAGCACTTCACTCGCATGTCAAAATTAGAAAGATTCGAAGCGTTTTGACATCTGCAGCATTTTTCAAAGGTCGCTTAATGAAATTGAAAAGATTCCTGTAGTTTTTCTTTTCTGATATGCGCTGTATAAACATTCAAGTAGAACAATCCTAAATTCGTAGAGAACGGTGCAAAATTTCTGTCGCATCTCCTGTGCTACCACAGCATAAACGAACGGAGGAAATAAACAATCCTAGAATATTTGCTCGCCTAACCTAAAAAACAAATAAGAAAAAAAACTATTTCCAACGATCGGGCAACCTGTTTGCTGCACCAGAATATTAAATGTTTTGTTTTCGTCGAGCTAAAATTAAACAGGTGAATAATTCACTAATAATTTTATTTTTAGTCCGGCCTAGGAGGCTCGGGCCAGATAACACACCGAGACGTAGAAGATAAATCGAAGAAGGCTGGGAGAAGAAGTTATCTGTCAACGTATGGATAATGCCTCGCAAAACCGTGAAAAAGTATCCGGCAGCGGCCTTTTGAACAGCCGCAGCAGAACAGAGGCCCGGGAGGCCATGGCCGCCGTGGAGGCCCCTCGTGAGAAGGGGACACACGGACTTACCCCCCGGTCTCACACCACAACGTAAACACACTTCCCAAACGCAAAACTGTCACAATATCATCCTCGAATCGATAGTCATGGCGCCTAGAAAATCAATGCATCGATGCGCGAAACAGAAAACGGAGCACACTAGTTGAAAAATAGCGAACACCTCACTGACCTTGTATCATCCGCTGAGTGGTCGATTGCTTCTGGTTGTTCGAAGACATTGCTTTACTTAATTTTACGCACTTCAAATTAGAAACATCGGATTTCGGTGGCACAATTTAACACACTCGCCGTTCTTCGCAAGCTATATTCTACTCTCGAGAGGGAGCGACGAGCGCTCTACTCAACCCAGCCAGAGCTGTCGGCGGCGTTGCCGGTTCTACGCGGGCAGGGGAGTCGACAGGGCTGGCTTGATGCAAGTCACAGACGCGGACATGGATCAGTTCGTTGATTTTTTGTGTAGATGAGCGAATGTTAGTTTCGTTTAATTCAATGTCCATATGACACTAGTTGTTCGGAAAAGGTTATTTCTCACTTGTATCCGAATGTAACTTTACGCATAACAAGGTCTGTAATGAAAAAATTTGGGATATTCAACTAGTGATTTTAACAGTATTTTGTGTGCAGATTACAGAAAAAATTGTGAAAAAATTCTATTACCTATAGATAAGTCACAAATTTCACCTGAAATTTTCTTATTAAATGGGTTTTAAGGTTCGGTATGGGTTCGATTTTTCTGTATTATATAGCCAATATAAGCGGTAAATTGAGTCTGAATTATGGAGCTGGCATGATGAACAAGTTACTACACAATGTGAGTGTATATCTAAGATAGAATACGGTTTTAATCTATTTAGTTCAATAACAAAACGAATCTAAACTGGGAAAATCCAATTCCTACTGGAACAAGGAATGTATGTATTCCATTTTCATGGTACCGATTGAGAGAAAGGGAATTTGTCCCTTTTTTTACACAAGAAGGTGACCTAGTTTTCTACAATAATGTACCCGGCGTCATGGAAATGTTCATCAGAACGTATGAACCTGAGAAATGGAGACTTTTCATCGATTCATCTAAAAAAAGTTTTAAAATTGTACTTCACAATGGGAACCAATATGCTTCTGTGCCTGTTAGACACTCAGTTCATTTGAAAGAATGCTACGAAAATCTTGAATTTGCTCTTGATATACTCAGCTACTCTGATCATAAGTGGACCATTTGTGAAGATTTGATAGTTATTTCAATGTTAATAGGTCAACAAAGTGGCTACACTAAGTTTCCATGTTCCTATGTGAATGGGATAGCCGTGACAGGAAACAACACTATGTCAAGCAGGTGTGGCCAATAAGAAAGGGTCTTATTCCTGGAGTTAGAAATGTTGAAAAACAAAGTTTAATGGATCCTAAAAAAATCTTACTTCCACCACTCCATATCCAATTGGGTATAATGAAACAGTTTGTGGAAGCATTAGGCAAAGAAGGAGATTGTTTCAAGTATCTTTCTGAGAAGTTTCCTAGTCTATCCGATGCTTAACCAAAAGAAGGAGTCTTCGTTTGGCCTGACATAAGAAAACTCTTAAAAGATGAAAGCTTTGTTACTAAAATGGAACTGAAAGAAAAAAATGCCTGGAATTGATTTAAACTTTTTATAACAGGCTTTCTTGGAAACAAAAAAAAACACAAACTACAAAACTTTGGTTGCTGAATTGATGCAAAACTACAAAATGTTGGGCTGCAACATGAGTGTCAAAGTCTATTTCCTTCACTCACATCTGGACTACTTTCCCGAAAATTCAAGGGCTGTAAGTGAGGAACAAGGAGAACGGTTCCATCAAGATATAAAAGAAATGGAACGCAGTTACCAAGGTCCGTGGAATGTTAACATGATGGCAGACTACTGTTGGATGTTAAAAAGAGAAAATTCACTAAAACACAGCCGAAAAAGTACCAAAAGAAGCTTATTTTGTAGGCAAACCTTACGTGATAGATAAAATCAAATGTATCAAATGTTATTTTTGAAATCAGCGCAAAAAACTACATAAAGATCAGCTAACGAAATCAAAACAATTCTTTTTTTGCAGACCTGTGGATCGGCATATCTTTAAAAAGAATTTTTGAAGTATAAATTGTATTTTTTGAATACTTGACAGGTACATAAGAGTTCGAAATTATTTACTTTTAATTATTTTAAAAATAAAATAAATACAACAATAAAAATTAATTGGCGCTCCGGGGCGACTTCATTGATTCCAGTGGCGCATTTGCTTTTTCGCGCTGCAGGAAAACCCGGAAAAACCTGCAGTTGTTTTTTTTTTGTTGGAAATCTCCCATATTTTTGTTCAACGATCGAGAAGTATTTATTTAAGCGCTTCTTAATTTGAATTTGAATGAAACAAAGTATTTGTGAGATAACATCGAAATTTTTTATTCGTTTGAAAGACCTATTTTTTTCCAATATTTATATTTTATTCATAATTATCATTTGATATTTTTTAGCAATTAGAACTATAATGAAACAATAAAAATTCAACTCATCAGGTACACAAATACATATTTGAATATAAATATCAAATATATTGGTACAGGAGCATGAAGAAACTTTCCTGCAGTTATCTCAACGGTGTGATTTCGTTCCATTTTTTTCTATATGCTTCTCCACTCACAACTGATTTTGGTGAAATTGGTGACACGTGTGAATAGTTGTATTTGTGCCACGTGCCAGTTTACGGGTGTCATGTCCGCTGTAAGTAGTCCCACTGTGATTTAAAAGTACATAATATAGATTATAAAGATAAGAAGTAACATTTTCAGCTGCAAAATTATTCATATCCAATCCATCTAGAGGAAATTCGATCACAACATTGTCGTTGGTGTCACATGTCGTTGGTGTTCAGGTCATTCAATTCAGACCATGACTGATCTTCATCTTCAGAGGTTTATTCATCTTGATGATTCACCGAGTCATCGCTAAATCATCAAGATGAACCTCTGAAGAAGCCGGCCATTTTGGCGAAAAGTTAGGTTACAGTTCCAAATCACGTCGGCCTTCAAACCCGAATGAAGATCGTAACACTGAAAATCTCATCCGCGAAAGTCTTAACCAATTTACTCAAAGCTTTGTTACTAGTAAATAGGTGGGGTAAGTTAGTAATACAAAGTTCGACATTTGCTCTTTTGTTATCAATCAGTTCTTGTGTTTTTTTCTGTTTCAATTCAATTTGTTATGAAACTCAAATGAATGATTTCCTTCTGTATGAATTCATTTATGTTTTGCTTGTTGCTGGTTGTTCACATAGCAGAACAGCGTCAGCTGAATGGTGCATACTTTTTGATCTTACTGAAGTGGAAAATCTATAGCCGCACGTAAAACCGATTGCTGGCCGCCATACGCAAGCGACTGTGCGATTCTCTTCCCACCGGTTCGGCGTTATGATTTCTCGCCACACTGAGCTCGGATACCTATACTGTATACAGTTGTATTTACTACAGTGTGCATAATCTAAATACTAAATAAATAAGTTAAGGATGTATAAAAGGATGTAAAAGTGAGAAGCATCCTGCGAAGAAAGCAAAATCACACTATCGAGTTATCACTAAGCTAATTATGTTATTTCATAATCAAAGTGTGTATTTATCTGTGCATTAAGTCTGCGTATATTTGGTCTGTCTCATGGGTCAGTGTTTCCTGAATTATCTTATCCAATTTTCTCCGCAATATCCTCAGGATAACTATCTACTGATTCGTGAAGAAGAACATGTTTCACAGACTCTGTATCAGAACCATTTCTCAAGCTGCAATCGATCCCTCCAAGTGATGAAGGGTTTCGTAGAGGTATCGATTCGGCTCTTGCTTCATGCAGCTCTTCCACTGAAAGCTAACCAGAACCACGAGGACTGCAGCTCATATTTGGAGGGGCAAGAATGACCTGAGTCCATTGACCGCACTGAAAAAAATGGTGGATCAATCACTGGCGAATTAACCATGATAGGAGACTGATGAATATAGTGAAATTGGGGCAATTCATAATCTCATCAAACTTATGTGGAGGGGGAATAGTTCCAAGTACCGGAACAGCATTACCACGTTGAATAGCATTACTGATTATTTCTATGAAATGAGGTAGAACGGTAATCTTTCGTTGCTTGGCCTATTCTCCGTCCGAGTTAATGAGCGAATAACTCAGATATCTGCCAGGAGTCTCGTGACGGCTTACATTTTTTCTTAATTATACTCTATACCTTAAATCGAAATAAAGACCTTTCATTATGATTATCATTATTAATAATAATAGTATACTTAATCGTCATTTAGAATAAATCTTGTGGACAAAGCTTGTGAAAACTAAATATAAATGTAGGTATAGAAATTTAAAATGTGAATATAAAAACACCTACAAAAACTCCAGTAATATTCTTTATAGAACTCTTGCAAATTATAATAGGGTCTATCAACCATAAATGTTTTTACTCTTATTCTAAACATTTTGTTGGTCAAAAATGCCTGCCTTATATCTGAGGGCAAATGATTACTATTATAGAGAATATTTTTCCATCATTTTACACATAACTCCACTTCATTAGCGTCTGCAGAACACTTGCCTTTAAAAAGAAAAGAATGCTATGTATAAATAATGCTTCCATGAAAATGAAACAAAATGTGAAGGGACTACGCTTCTCAAATTCTTTAACGATTCTGTTGTCAAGTTTTTACCAGAGCATTCTGTGGTAAATGCCAAACCCTCATTTACGGAATCCATTTGAGAAGCAGTTTTTGACCCACAAGAAGTTATTACGTAAATCCCATCCCTAACAATTTCACACGGATTAACACAACATCAAATTTTGAACGCACCCCCTCATTCTAATATTGATCCTCCCTCTTTCCGCAATCTCATTAAGACTCAGATAAGCTCTTCACGATTCCTTTTGAAACGGCAACAGGTTATTATGGCATGTCGATAGTTGAAATATGTCACAGAGTGAATTTAGGATTCGTCCCAATCTCGCGGAAAAATCGAAGCAGCGGCAACCCTGGCCATCAGCTGAGCGCGCATATTCATCGCGTCGGATCATTGCTGCAAGCGCTTCACAGCAGGAAAATGAAAGCAGAGACTGCAGGACGTATCGCCATCTCGTGTACGGAGTTGTAGATGGAAAAGGTTAGCAGGCAAGAAAACTATTTGTCGGCGAACCTGGATTTTTGTATTTGGTTGTTCGCTAGCAGGTGGCAGAGAGTGTTGATTGTTTTTTTGAAATTGAAGGGATAATTTTTTGAAGAAATTTAATTTTTGGGGTATAAACAGCATTATGGCTTTCTATTTCTCAGTCATTGAACAACAATTGTGGGACACTTTCATAGA